GCCTGGATTCGGTCGCGAATTGCCGGCGCGCGGGCGTTCCTCTATTCAGGTTTCTAGAACGGCAATTTGACTCTCGCCGATTCGAGACGATTCACGTTCGCTGCATTTCGTGGCAATTATACCGTCTCGCGATATACACCGCGACGGTTCTTGCCGAGCGAAAGTCCATTCCGGAGTTGTGTGATTCTTTCACGACGTTTGTTTTTCGAACGTTCCCATTACCCTCGTTGGACTTCCATTTCCTTTCCCTGGGACGCAAGGAGACCTATACGGGAGCAGGGTTGATGTCAGGTTGGCCAAAAAGTTCCTTCGTATTTCAAGAGAGCGGTACGATCGTTAGAAAATTAGAAATAGCCGAATGGCTGAAGCCGGCCACGTGTTTAGTCTCTGACCCTCTCAACGGAGGTTCGGTCAGAGGTGTCCTCACGGTTGTGGATTTTTCTGACGTGGTTCAAGACTTGTATCGACTTTCATGGAGTCGAGAGACCTATTGGAAATGTGGTAAATTCACAAGTTACACAGAGTCATTATTCGCACGCCCTATAACGCATACCTGGCCTATATATTCTGATCCTACACGATGCTTTAGTTTTCAAAGTTTTCACATAATTCCGGTTTCGAGTCCAACTGATAGCAGAGTTCTCCCGATGAAAATGGTACCAGACACGATACAATTCGGATTACTTAGAAGGAAATTATACGGGAAAAATGATTTGCACGGATTTTGCGTATCTTCGTTAAGAATAGTCCGATTAACATAGTGTTTAGTAGCGCTTTCAGCTTTTTTCGGGAAAACGTAAGGAATCCATCGGCGTTACTCCCGTAATAATACGATGCATATGAAGTGAAATCGGGTGATTATTGAAAGCCATAAACCAAGGGTGGAACCATCCGAAGCGCACGTGTGCCGACTTTAACCCACGACGAACTTAAAAAGGGTCCGAGCAATAAAGTGTGAAATGTTTGTCATGATATGCGCAACTTGCGCATCACCGGTATCGGACGCGTTACTAGTTCGCTCAACGCCACGGCGTGTACAATAATTAAGAGCGTCTCGTGAAACCGAAGAAATCGCAAGATTGTGGGTGAAAGTGGCATGACTCTTGCCACTGTTGCGTTGCGCGCCGATCATCGAGGACATGTCTGCTCCCAGAGGCTCCTCGGTTGCGCAACCTCCCTCCGCAGAGGTCGCGCGTGACGATCTCGGTCACCTTCGTCAAATTCGATTTAACCATCGATTTTTCGACGCGTCGTCCATAAATATCGCCCTTAATTCGCTGGAAATCTGAATAATTCATATGCAAAGCGGTCCACCGATCCGGCCTGGCTTCACCCTTGGGAGAATACTATCTTTACTAGTAGTAGTAGTAGTAGTAGTCTAGTAGTACTAGTAGTCTATCGCGTCAGCTACCCCAAAACTCGGGGAGGAGCCGGAAATGGGGGGTAGCTGAGACGATTCTGAACAACAATTTCCTTTGCAAAAATGTCGGATGAGGCTTCGTTAAGGAGATATTAAGCGAAAACCCCGACCAATCAGAGCGCGCGTAGACCGTTGGAGCGGCCGCGGTAGCGCTAGGTAGCCGCTCTCGTCCGCGAACAAGTGACTCGACGTGCATCGAAGGATATCGACGCGGCCGCTCAGCGCCGTAGCCTACGCTACCGCGGCCGCTCCCAACGGTCTACGCGCGCTCTGATTGGTCGGGGTTTTCGCTCAATATCTCCTTAACGAAGCCCCATCCGACATTTTTGCAAAGGAAATTGTTGTTCAGAATCGTCTCAGCTACCCCCCATTTCCGGCTCCTCCCCGAGTTTTGGGACACCCTGTATATTTGGGCAGCGTACGCCGATAACGTAGCCAAGCCTTCCATAGGAACGAGGTTGTAAACACACAGAAATATTTGCATGAATTTAAATCGAGAAGTCGAGAGAAGTATATACTATTTACAAATAATATTCGATGTATGACACGGTATATTCACAGTATTTTCTTCTCTTTTTCCTTTTGTTTGAAATTTCACGCGAACCGAGATGCCACAAAGAGATTCGGAATTCAGCGAGTGCATCGTTGGGAAAGTCTCTGATGTATGACCGAGTTTTTCCGACGTTCGGTGCACGGGTACCGCGATCGCGAGTTATCCGCGTCGCCGGCGTCGAAAGTATGATAAAATTAGCCAATTGCCGTGATAAAATTCGTCTGGCCGGGAAACAAACGGCGAAACGAACGCGTCTGGTTGTTACCGTGCTGAAAAGTTCGTCGATCAAATCAATTTAACGATTTTGCAACGCCCTCGACAGTTTTGCACCGACGATTCGCTTAGGATGCGCATAATTTACGCTGCGCGAACACGTGGACGTCGGGACACACTTTATTCTCGTTTAATTGCGGCCAATCTTCGCTTTGATTGCCCGTCGAAACGAGAATTCGAGTTTGGTAGGGAAAATTTGACGCGTAAAAAGTTGATTTAAACAGGATTAAATACTGTGCTCGAAATTGTAATAAATTAATGTCTTACGCAACGGTGAATGCGAATGAAATAACCGTTGAATATATAAAGAGAACCGAAGTTGTAGGAAGCGTTATACATTCGACTGTACGGGGTAAGGTCGCATTCAAAATCAACGCGTTCAAAAGTTAGATTTAATTGGTTGCAACTCGGTTGCTCAAAATATGAGCTACTCCAGCCGTGACGATTTCACTTAAACAAAAGATAATCGAAAGCGTAGAAGGATTCCATGTCGGTCTCCGTTGTTCACAAATTCATTTAAAAAATGCATAACACGGCACGTGCGACATTGGGAGAATATTTCGGCTGAAATTCGTCGAATTCCGTTGCGTGAAGCGGCGCTAGTTTAAACGATTCCCGAAACTCTTGAAAATTCCTTCGAAGTTGTGAAAGCTCGCGTTACGCTTTGCTCGAGGAATTATTCAAATTGCGCGGCACAGCGTAAACGAAAGGGAACACCGACGAGAAGGAAGAAACGTAACTTCTGTCGTTCGGAGAACTAAAATGTAGTTAAAGAGCGTAACAGGTTACCGCGATGCTCTCCTCGGGAGGGAGGAAAAGTCGTTTTCCATGTTGCATAAATTCTAATTGGGTTAAACCTCCGAGTCGTCTCTGGGAAGCGTTTATTGCGTCGAAACTGGGACTCGATCTACGAAGGACGTCTATAGAAAAAGGGGAAACAAGAATTCTATATAACTCGCATAAATAGGTGACACGAGATCTCCCTGCCGGTTTGCCGTTCGATCCAGCTCGTCGTTCTGCAATTTTACTCGACGTTCGTTTTACTTCGATTGTAACTAAACAAAATTCCACTCGACTTTCTACATAGTAGAATCGGGAAGACCTGGAATTATTTTGCCATTGAATCTCGTTTATTCTCCGCAAATGTACAGCCTCGTATAAATCATTTCATGTGATTAATTAGAGAGAAACGAATGGTAGTGTGTGGCTTTAACAGGCCAGAAAGGAGCAGTGTATCAGATGATTGTGAATTTGATGCATTTGTGATATAGAGTAGCATTATAAGCACGTGATGGATATAACCAATAGGTATGTGCACTTATGCAAAATGAAATAGCAATATCGTTATATTAATTGTACAAGATATGCATATTTTGTGTATGTTTGCTATGATGTGCATCTATTCAAAATGAAATAGCAATATCGTTGTATTAATTGTACAACATGTATGTATATTTTATGTATGTTTTGCTATGATGTGCATCTATGCAAAATAAAATAGTAATATTATAATATTAATTGTACAAGATATGCATATTTTGTGTATGTTTGCTATGATGTGCATCTATTCAAAATGAAATAGCAATATCGTTTTATTAATTGTACAACATGTATGTATATTTTATGTATGTTTTCCATATTATTATGCATCGTAAACGCATGAAATCCGCAGTTTACATATAATTGTTACTTTTGTCTTTCATCGGGGTATCGTTACCGCAAGCATTGTCATACCGTGAATGTCGATTGTAAAGTAGCTACTCGAGGCACGCCAAGCCTTCGTACCCGAGATCACGTTTGAACGTAGCGCGTGCCATAAACGCTTGCATGCTATCTCGCTTCTATCTTCTCCTTTCTCTTCGACACTTTCACTGTCACTTCGAATGGCTGCGAATTCTGTATTACCATCGACCGTTCCCAGGGGACCAACGCTCGTTTTCGTCGTCGAGAAACGACGGAAGTAACGAACCAATCTCACCGAAATTTCATTTTCGAGCCGGGGAGGAGTTTCACTCGTTCCTTTCGCTTCGAATCGAACTCGGTCTGCCAAAGTCCGAGTCTGGAGCCTCTGGAGAGAGAGGAATAAAGCGATTATTTTGTTATCGTCTCGTGGGAGCCGTGCGAAAATCCGACGAAACGCAATTTCCAACGCTCAAAAGCGTGGACGGACTTCGCGACGAAGAGTTCCCGACAGTGGACCAAAATGGCCGGCGCTGCAAAGACTTGGAGGAGGGGGGATCGTCGCGGGCATTGTTCGGCATCGGTCCCCTGCGTTCGCGATGCGTCCTTAAAATTAGTTAAACTGGTGCACCGAAATTAACCCAGTTATGCAGAAAGAGAGGATATCGAATAAATTCACCGCGCAGCCGCGTATTGGTGGCCTCAGTGTTGTGTGTGGGTGTTGCTTGTGTACGCGTCGCCGGTAGAACCAGGGAGAATCGACGACGAAGACGCGTGTAGCTCGATAGCGACAAGGACGAAAGCAAAATCACTCGGTAGAGGAAGATGTAGGCACCTTTAGAGGGTGTAAATGATACATATTACGTTTGCATGGAAGCAAAAAGAACAAAAAAAATAGATGTTTAGGGGCATTTCGCAGCGAATCCTGCCTAAGAGGCGCCGTCTTAAGAGCATGCTTCGATGCTTCCACGCTGGCATTCGTCATACTTCGAGAACCAGTGGCGATAAACCACGAAAAACCTTGTTATCCGCTCGAAACCTTACACGGTATCTTTCAAGACTTCGACTAATCGCGTTAGCAAGCGAAATTTCCTATCCTCGGTGATTCGAAATTCCTATCGGGATAAGAATGTCGTCGACGAAGATGAAGAATGTTCGTAACCGGCAAGAGCGAAGCGAAAACTGAGCTGCGTGGAAAGGAGCGCGGCGGAGAGGGCGCAGAAGGGTGAAAGAGGAAAGTTTAGCTGCGAGGGCGAGAGAGGGAGAAGGCCTAGAAATAGAGAGACTCCGTGTCAGCGTGGGGGTGTACGTGTATATACCAAGGGAGAGAGAGAGAGGACGAGAGACGAGCAGAGGGAGGTGAAGAGAGATAGAGACGGTGGAGAAACGAGGCCTCCGTGTTCCCTTTGAAGGCACTCGGCGGTCCACCTGCCGCCGCTGTCGGTGGCTGTGCAGAATGCGGGGGCGGTGGTGCGGCGACACGAACGGAGACCAGTGATGCTCTTCACGGTTCCACGGATTGATCTTCGAACGGTTCGCTCCCGTTCCTGCGAACGCTCTCCGACGAGACACATCTACACGCGCCCTGGACCAGCGGGTAAACTCGGCTGTTTTGTCAACTGCTTTCACGTGGTGGCCTCATATTTCCGAGACGTCGCAAGACACGCTACTCCATCGACGTGGATCCAGTGAGATCTTCGTCAGTGTGTAGGTTTGACCGTGGAAACGATTCCTGGCTGGGCACTGGTGATGCACAGTGTTTTTAATCCTGTGGAAAGCAATCTACACTTGGTGGAGCGTTCAACAATTTAAAACACTAGTAGGAGCTGGCCTCCAAAACTGAAGCACCACGAGGACATGGACTTTCAGTTGGCTTCCCAAGCATCTCGACTTCCAGAAACCCAAGACAACAGGGTAGAAAGTATTAAAGCACAGTGTTTTTAATCCCGTGGACTCAAAGGAGTCTACACTTGGAGCGTTCAACAATTTAAAACACTAGTAGGAGCTGGCCTCGAAACCTGAAGCATCACGAGGACATGGACTTCCAGTTGCAGCAGTGAACTCTCGCTAACCTAAACCTGGAATCTTCGAGAATCTAAAGCACACCATCGGGAGTTGGCTTCTCAAGCACCTCGACTTCCAGGAACCCAAGACAACAGGGTAGAAAGTATTAAAGCACAGTGTTTTTAATCCCGTGGACTCAAAGGAGTCTACACTTGGAGCGTTCAACAATTTAAAACACTAGTAAGAGTTGGCCTCGAAACCTGAAGCACCACGAGGACCTAGACTCTCAGCTACAGGGTGGACAGTAGTGACAGAGCACAGTGGGTAGACACGATATCTAAAGTCCTGTGAATTCTCCCTATCTTGGAGTCTTCAACAACCGCTACAGCGCAGCATCAGGCGTCCCAAGCACCATGAAGACCTAGACTTAGACCTAGACTTCCGTAGTCATCGCAAGGACCGTCGATGAGGGCTGACCCTCGGATAGGAGGCTCGTCAATCGACCCGATCCAAGCAGTGATCAATCCTCTTGGTCCACTCGCAGATACATCCACCGAGGAGATGAGCGTCGTCGACCTAATGACGTTCCTGGACGTTTGCCAGCTCTATCTGCAGACCAGGCGGAAGTCTCGTAGCCTGTGCACCCTGTGGGCCATCGTCACGTTCATTCGCACGGAGGACACCAGCGAGTTCGTGCGCTGGTGTCACGCGTACACCGTGCCCCATCTGCGATATCGAAACGACTCCGTCGGTCCCCAGGTGAAAGAGAAGCCGAGGGTCGACAAGTTGATCCTGCAGCACCTGCAGGAGCTGTTCAACTGTGGCTGCATTCCGTCGTGCGATATTGGTTTATGAACGGTGGCTCTGGGACAAGCTCAAGTATGACGAACTCGTATTCGAATCGCGGTCTGGAGTCGGGTCTTCTTCGTGGTGGGAAGTTTTGAGATCTAGGAGCGTACTGAGACCAATTTTACTGTATTTCGATACCTAGTCACATGGTAGCCTAAGAGCCAGCTAGGATCCTACTTACGTCATTTTCAAACGTAAATAACGCTTTTCTTATGGAAGTACAATACCTATACTGCGGATTTTATGCATTTATAACGAACAATGATATAGAAAGCATACATGAAAAATATACGTAATGTACGTTGAATGTATTTTACAATTGATACAATAAAATTCTCATTTTGTATAAGTGCGGATACCTTTTGGTTATTTTTAGTATTTGTTTATTACAATAGTTCGTATCATAAGTGCGTATAATCCGCAGTTTAAGAACAACACGATCACGGACACCGTCGTGCGGCAGTCTCAGAGAACGTTTTGAAACATGCAAAAAGAGTTGAGATTACGTTATTCTGAAATGGCTGATTTTAATCGCAATAATTAATCGCACGTTTCGATTGTATCTTGGCTAGTGTTGGTTTACGCAGACTCGATGTACCTGTGGATTCCGCTTTTAATTCGCACTCCCCTTGGCTGTTATTCTTCCGGTTTCGGTGCCCTTGCTCAGCGAGAGTGGATCGACGAGTAGACGTCTTGCAGTGTTCTTCTCTCGTCGAAGAAGAGGCCACTCGACCTGTTTGTGTCGACGGACCACTCTTCGTCGTCGTCGGCGGCTAACAAGGGTGCTCGAGTGTTACGATACCTGGTTGAATAGGAGCTACACGGGAAAGGAGTGTCGGGTCCCGTGAACGCGAATCGAGTGGGAAATAGTTATTGTTCGATGATCGCCCGTGGCCGATCAGCGACGATGATAGCTTTTTGTCGGCGACGCTTCGCGGCGAGAAGTGAAAGGGAAGCTAAACGTAGAATGGTGATTAAAACTAGAGCGACAGGATGTTTGCGTTCTACCTGGAATCAATTATACCATTACGAGCGAGAAAAATGAAGAACGTTGAGGAAGACGTTTATATATTATAAGGGGAAACTGTGATCCTGGCCTCGGAAGAAGGATCAAAGAGGTATTCTATTTTCTAGAAATTCTTTTTTTAAGAATGTGAACGTTTCCTTGGGTTTTCTATAGTTTGAATGCTAGAAGGAATTTTATTAAAAATATTCCAACGGTAGTGTGCCTGTGATCCTGGTCTCGGAAGAAGGATCAAATCTTCTGTTTTCGAGAAATTCATTTTTGAGAAGGTTTGGTTGGGTTTTCTATAGTTTGAATGCTAGAAGGAATTTTATTAAAAATATCCCAACGGTAGTGTGCCTGTGATCCTGGTCTCGGAAGAAGGATCAAATCTTCTGTTTTCGAGAAATTCATTTTTGAGAAGGTTTGGTTGGGTTTTCTATAGTTTGAATGCTAGAAGGAATTCTATTAAAAATATTCCAACGGTAGTGTGCCTGTGATCCTGGTCTCGGAAGAAGGATCAAATCTTCTGTTTTCGAGAAATTCATTTTTGAGAACGTTTGGTTGGGTTTTCTATAGTTTGAATGCTAGAAGGAATTCTATTAAAAATATTTCCGTAACGAAGCCTAAAAATTGGCGTCTTAAGATAAAGATTGCCGTTATCTAAATGGGAAAGAAAACATCGGTGTCGCGGAGGAGTTGGACGATTCGTTTCGAGGGCTATTTCGTTTATCCTTGGACCCAACGTTTCTCGCTCGACGGGACGGGCGACAAATAATAGCGATGATTGATCGTCGGATTGACGTATGTAGAGCATTTCTGTTTGAACTCGATCAAATCCAATCAGACTCGCGCGCTCGATATACATCTCGTTTTCACACCTTTTGTTCGCTCTGTCAACAAGGTGTTCCAGATATCTTCGACTTTCAGCCGATCGTCGCTTCATCCTGACCCGTTATTTACGATTTCACGAATCAACGAGCAAAGGAACTTGGAAAATCGCTGTCGCTCCAACGAATATTTACCGTGGACCGTGTCAACCCTTTATTTCTTCCCAACACAAATTACATTGAATCGTTAAATCGTATTAACAAAATTCTCGAAGTGCAAAAGGTTGTTCGCTATCTTCCTGAAATATTTCGTCCAAAATAACATAGATACAGGATCGCCAAATTGGTCTGTTTTTCTAGCAAAGTTTTCCCTTCGTACAATAAAAACCTACCTTTATTCCTAAAGCAAATTCATTTCAAATATTTATCATATTCGTCCTTTACGTATCGAACAAAAATGGCTCGAGCTGCTTCTGTTCGACGAATAATAAATAAAATAATAAAATAAAAAAAAAATAAAAAAAAAATGCAAAAGCACGTCGATACCAAATTGTTCTGACAAAGGTTCGGTTCATCTCTGGTCAGAATCTCTCGTTACCGATTCGGACTGCACAGAAACACCAGTCGCGCGGGTAACCGCGATATTGATTCAGCGAGAATTCGCAGAACGGTAGTTTGTCCTTTTTTTTTTTTTTTTTTCTTCCACCGACGGTCGTGAAAGCCATTGTTTCATGCTCGTACCCGTTGACAGCCGTTCAACGAGCCACGGATAATCTCCTGCGTGGAGCTGCGCCGCTGGACTGTACGTCGATACGTGATTCATTAGAATGTAGGCTGGCCAGGGACGATCGCGGATTAATTAGGTCAAACGGTGCTATCCGTAGATCTCCGGCCGACGCGTGCCACCCAAAAAGTGAAACTAAATCGCGTAAACGTAGCTCGTTGCAATGTACACCAATCATTTTGTCAGACGAGACACTTTAATAAGTCAAATTTGTTTCTTGCAGACAACTCGCAATGCACTTTGATATTTCAAGCGATCGGTTATCAGAGACACGTATAATTAAAATCTGCGCGTTATCTTGCGAGGAGACTGAAATTATTCGATAAAATATCGATGTATTCGCGGAAGGTTAAATTAAATCGAGCAGGATACGATTTAAAAAAAAAAAAATATTAGCGTCTATCGATGGTTCCATCGGAGAGTTTTGTTTTCTTCTGGAAATACAGCTTTAATCGCGAATTGTTATCGAAACAAAATAACAAGATAAACTTTCTATCGAATCCGTCGGCGAACCTTTGGACCGAGGATTTCTATATTCGCAGGCGATCTCCAACGTAACGCTCATTGCTCCATGAATAATTGACACGTTGCATCTACGAGTTTTGCCATACGCGGAAGCTCGATGGTCTCCAGACGTTGCTCAATAAATCGCAGTACGGCGATATCGAGAAACTTCCAGCGACGGAGGGGTGCAATTAACGAGCCTGGTCGATTAATGATCAGGAACGAGCGAGTAGACACCCCTGGAATCCTAATTGCGCGGCTGAATTATAAGCGTTCGTCGTCCGTGGCTCGCAGGACACCATCCCTCGTCGAACGCTGGCGAACGATTATTCCCATAACCGACGTCGGAGTCACGTAAACGGGTGTACGCGATGGAGAAACCGGGCCCGACGTTATTTCACCGGCAATATCCCCAACACGGAACGTACGCTCGGTTTAATTATCGTCCCGGGAGAATGCACTTTGTCGCGTGTTCATCGTCAGCATCCTCCTTTCTTGGTCCTTGTTTCTTGGATCGACCGCTTCGACCAAGTTTCCACGTGCTTGCGTAACCATTTTTATCGGCGGTAAGTTTCTGGGACACAAATCGCCAGTACGAAACAAACCACTTCTTTACGAAGCTGCCGAAGAAGCAACAGCCAGCTGATCGACAGATATAAACGATACATTTTAATTGTTCGTAGAAACCTACGATCGTCAAATTTTCTCCAAGCATCGGTTGTATATTTTCTGTTGAATAATAAAGAATAAATTCGAGGTAATTTGGTAATTTCAGAGGAAAGTTCGACGAACGATGGGTCTAATCGACCGACTGGCTAGTTGTAGCGTTAAAAGATGTCTGGAGCAGCAAGGTAGCAGCGTGGCCTTCGGTTAGGAAGGGTGGATGAAAGTTAGGGTCGTGTTTTCCCACGGACGATTTCGTTCAGAAACGCCTAAAAATAGTCCTCTGTACTCGTGCAGAGTGAACCCCTGTTGGAAACCACCCTCAACCGCCCTCCAGGCGGAAGTATTCGACGTGCTATTTCGGTGTCGGAAGTACCGTGAAACTGGTATTTTTAACCTTTGACGAACCGATTCGATCGCTTCCCTTCTATCAAACAAAAAAGCCTGTTTTTCAGAAATCGCGAACAACGAATGCAAAACCACCGAATTCATTTCCGCGCTTGATATATATATTTAACGAATGTAGAAGGATGTAGAAGGGAAGAAACGCAAAGAAAGTGCCGCACTCCTGTGCGCACCAACGGATTAAGTTGTCAGGGTCGCATGCGAACGCTCGGTGCGAGTTTCGAAGCGGGTGAACGCAAAGCGGAGGCTACCAGCGAGCGTTCGGTAAAAGAAAGTGACGAGAAAGTATGAAAACCGGTACCTTCGGAACCGGAATCCTTCGTCGGTGACCGATTACGGAATATCAATCGGCGGATGACCAAATAAAAGTAACGTCACCGTCCGATCGCGTACCAGCACTTTGCAAACAATCTAAACAATTTTTAATCCTCATGTACGAACAATAAGGAACAATAAAGAGCGACGAACGCACCGAGGAGCATACAATTATTTTTTAATGTTTCAGACTCTCGAGTAGGAACGAAAAACGATGATCAATTATACAAGCTGAAAGGATACGATAAATGATGATCTTTGTATTAACCCTTTAATTCAAAAAATGATTTTGTGAACGTACAATTTCAAACGAACTTACGTCAGAATACAACTAATTATTAATTGAAATAATAATGCATCGAGTCATGAACGTTCGTAGATGGTTTCTCTTCGAAGTAGAGTTTTTGGTTTCACAGAAATTTATTACAAAAACGGACTGGATTTGATTCTATAAAAAAAATTCCCAGAGCGCGAAGGGTTAATCTCTTTAAAGTTTCTCTTACAAGCGACACGAAAACTACCAATAACAACAGACACGTAATAATTACAGATTCCGCGAGCACCGTAACAGGAATTCGAAATATTTAACACCAGAAATTCGTTACTTAAACGGTATCGTAGAATTAAATTTGAATTCTTGAAGTTCGAAAAATCAATACCACGATAAATGTTCGATCGTGCAGTTTTCAACGGTCTGCAAACGAAACTCGATCACGGTAGAAATTTTCAAGAGTATTAGGCTGGCAGCGAACAAGGTAAATGCGCTACGTGTGCACGAGCCACGTGTCGCGAATCATTAAATCCTCGTCTCACGGCGGATCGCGATCGTTCGAACGAAGACGATCGGTCCGTAGATGCTCCGTTACCTCGCGAACGGAGAGCTGTAAATCACTTTACCGATTACGCGATTCCCGTGTCGGCGGGACGCCACCGTTGGTTATTCAATCGCGGGCACGATTACGCGAATAATCTGCTTTCATCGAGCGGCAAGAAATAAAAACCGATTTATCGAGCTCGTCGCGCGTTTGTGGACTTTGAGGGATTCGCAACCGATCGAGAACGATAAGCGTTACAGTAAAGACTGGACAAGTGCAAGACTTTTGACGCTCGGCGAGCGAGCAGTATATTGTTGGAGAACCAGATAGAAGTTCAAAGGAAATAATCTTAACAAATTGTTTATTAAACGCTCTTACTCGTTACTCTAGGTTTCTAACATTAAAATGTACACGAAGAAGCTCGGTTGACTGCCCGGGATGATCGGTTGAATCGGTCGTAGGCGACCGTGAGCGAGATCGGTTGGCGTGGGAAAAAGTTTTTGGGGGTGGGAATTTTTAACGAGTTCTTGACGAACAGAGACCTGGTGGAAAAGAGAAAGTTAAGGTTTGGAGAAGCCAAAGGAAAATACTGCGTTAGGAGAAAAATATAAGCAGGATTTCCAACAATATGATCCTAACCGAATATGTTATTGTCAAATTATTATTGTCTCACCGACACGCTTCTGCCGACTGCTTTTTTTCCTCGGACTTCTTTCTCTTTCGATATCTGTTCTTTCCTACGTTCGACTCGAGTAAAATTTCAACACGAAATAGAAACCTCGGCTATCTGGAACCGCGAATGATATGGCAGCTTTGCGATGGTTATCACGTGGACGGATGGGAAATGTTAGTCACGGGAAATTATAGTCATTTGTCTGAAATTTCGGCACCGACCGTTGCCCTATCCTGTCGGACATTTTCAGCGAATCGCGCGGATGCTATCCCAGGAGTTATCGAATCACGTCGAGGACGTTAGCTCTGTCAAAGTGAAAGCCAATTTTCCGTTTGGCTGATCGAAGCAACTCCTCGCGACTTTTGTTCGTCGAACGTGACAAAGACACAAAGAATTATCGCTCGTTTTGTCGACGAGACAATGAGCGAACGAGAACGCAACAGGGTTGAATTGAAAGCGGGGGTCTGTTTCAATCAGCCATATATGCAAGGGTGGCTCAGAGGGCAACTGCAAGTTTAGGCGGAAATGTTAGGCTTCGCGGTTAGGCTGTTTCGAAATTAAACGTACCAATTTTAGTGGAGCTCGGTAAAGTTTTACGACTCCGTTTCGTACAATTTATGCCACTAACAAGTAAATCCCTTTTAGTACATCTCCTTTTTAACCGACTTTGAAAAGGAGGAGGTTACTCGATTCGGCATGTATATTTTTGTTTCTATTCTTTTTTCTTTTTTTTTTTTCGTGTAAACTATGCACCGCATCTTCTATTAGACTTGAGTCTGCATCGTCCGCTTTCCAAAAAACCTGCGAGTTACAAAGTTGCGACCATCTTACAATCCCTCATCCTCCTCTTCGCTCTACCGATCGTTCAACTTCGCACCTTGACAGTGTTCACTTTGAAACACTGTCACGTCCCGAAGACAATGATTACCCTCTGCGTGTGTTCACAAAGAACGACTGATTTGGTTGCAGTATCGCGGACACGCGTGTGGATGAGGCTAGACCATCTTAGCGAGAGGGATGTCTGAAAGCGACGGAGAGCAGATAGCTCGGTCGGTGGCGTTGGAGCAAGCCTACGTCCATGAAGTTTACGAACAATGCGCCGAGAAGACTGTCCAGAGCAGACACTGGCCGCGGATCTATCAGTTTCTCGAGGAGTTGGAGCCGGGGGCCCTCGTCTGCGACATTGGTACGTCCAACTTGTTCCAACAGCTGCGTTTAATCGCTCTACCTCTTCGATCGTAGTTAATTTCTCGTGTCTGCGCGGTGCTTGCGGAAATAATTAACAGTTCAGACTTCGTTTTCGATAGTTCTACAGTTCATCGTCCATTAAACTAGTAGCATCGATTGGGAACTATTGGTTAATTCGTTAAACAATTTTAAGTGGAAGGATCATCCAAGAACTCCCATTTAAAATTG